TTTTTAAAAAAAGAAGTGAGTTTATCTGTGGAGCTCTTTTTTATTTTTATTTTGTACCTCATGTACAATTCCAGGTTTTAGACTGCTTTGAGTTCAGGCTGGCCAATGTCAGAAGAGAATAACATAAACTCATCATCAATTTAGTGGAACTTCCAATTTTGGATTACTTTTCCCCAGCTACTAACTGAAAGACTTACATGTATGTGTGGGTTTGAATCCCAACACTTCTACCATTTATTTTGCCATGTTTGGAGAAGAAAAAGGTATCAAATTTAGAAAACTGTTCTAAAGGTTTAGTTTGTACACTGAATCCCAGCAAAATATGCCTAAGGAATTTGGTATATGCTTGATCATAATAATTACTTAATAAGCATTTGGCTTTATTTTTAGCAATTATTCTAGAAAAAAATAGAACATATAGCATAAACATATGGTTTATTTCAGATATTTCCTCATGTGAATAAATATATCCCAGGTACGTTTTAAATTAATCCATCAGCAAACATCCAATTATGCATGCAAAGATTTAAAAGGCTATCTAGAGCTCTTTTTCTCTCTTCTGCTGACAGCTTGCCATTAAGATCTGGGTTCTGCAATAATGAAAATCCAACTTTTCTGTAAGCTTTTGTTAAAATCACAGTTAAAATGTGTGTGTGTGTGTGTGTGTGTGTGTGTGTGTGTGTGTATAAAGTAGATTTGGGTTCACCTCTGTCTTTCCAGGGTTTCTCTCCCCATCATCTTTTTTCTTTTTCACTTTCTTTTGCATGGCCCACCTTTCTCTAGCCATGCCTGTCTTATTACCTTAATAAAACTTTTACACTTGTTTTACTAAACAACAACAACAACAACAAAGCTATCTATGGCACAATCGGAAACTTAGCATCCAGAAGCTCTCAGTGTTAACCATGAGCTATGGTTACACAGGGGTTCCTCCAAGGTCCCTTTAAAGACATTTAGGAGTTTTTAAGGCTTAGATCTCTTGGGTTCTTCATTCCAAACTAAACCTTATCATCTCTCCCCAACTGCAGAGTACTACTTTATTTATCAGTCAAGATATTACTGATAGAATGAGTGGGTGAATGATAAATAAAATGACAGAACTGCATTCCCCATACCATCCTCAAAATGAAGCATATTAGAAACGAGTTAGCGGGGCAAAGGATAGTCATTCTGTATCCAAGTGTCCACCCTCACCTCAGTTGCTCCCATCTAAGATACTTATCCTTTCTCCTCTTTACCAAACGAACTCCTACTTATGCTTGACTTTTGGATTAAAGGTTTCACCTTTGATGAAGACATTCCTAACTCTCAATGAAAGTTACACACCCTATTATATGCTTTCACGTCACCCTTTACTTCACAGCACTTATTATACTCTTAATTATATAACTAGACATTTCAAAAGTACCTCAAAGCCCAGGACAACTCCTCTCTCTTACTCTCTTGACTTGTAAAGTTTTGACAATACTCATATTGCCCCATATGATGAGCCTGGGCCTCATTGCCTATCTTCCAAAGCTATACAGTAAAAGCTTTTTTCAGCTGTTCCAAGTCAAAACTAATCTGGACAAGCATGCTGGAGCTTCACAGTTCAGAGGTGAGTCAGTCACAGCAAATGTCTAGTCCACCCTTCCTGGTTATTCCAATTTGATAAAAACTGGAGTGGTGAGAGAGTCCATTAACTATGCATTTCAAAAGTTCCCCTGATGATAGTTTACAGGTGCTACTCTACAACTGGCTGCTAAAGATAAGGTGTTCAGATCAAGTCCACCTAGGAGAACTCTGGAAGAATCAGGTTTGGTAATCTGCTTCCACAGTTTACCTTGTCAGCAGGTTCTGCTTAAATTTGTAACATGAAAGTAAGGGACCCTGATGCTGATGACCCACAGAAACACTGTCTATAGTAGGTACCCTCTGACCAGCTTCCAAGGATCCCTGCCTTCTGGCAGTCACACCCGTGTTTTATCTCTTCCCCTTTGGTGTAAACTTGATTCAGTTCCTTGTTTCATATAAGGTAAAAGTGATGGGATGCGAGGGAGCTCTGGTGGACGCTGCACTGCAATCCCAGAGGTATGTGGTTCAAATCCACCAGATGCTCTGCTGGAGAAGGAGGGGGCAACCTCCTCCTATACCAGTCAGATCTGATTTGACGGTACATGTAAAAATAATACAATAAAAATTTTAAAAAAAAATTTAAAAAGTGATGGGATGACACATCTGTGACTAGGTTACAAAGGACTATGCTTTGCTCGTGTTCTCCCTGGATCCTGAGCTGCTGAAGATGGACAGCTAGGCAGCCTTGAGACAACTGTCAGCAAAACTGAAGGCCCTCTTGCTAACAACCAATAAGTGGACTCAGAAAAAATCCTTCCCCATTTGAACCTTGAGAAGATTACAGCCCTTGCTAACATTTTGACTGTAGTCTTACTAGACACTGAATCAAAGCCTTAGCTAAGCTGTGTCTATATGACTGACTCACAGAAATGGTAAATAAATGCGTTCTGTTTTGTTGTTATTCTGTGCCATCGAGCTATTTGCGACTCATAGTGACCCTATGCACAACAGCCCTGAAACTTGCTCTTTCCTGTGCCAACCTTATTGTCTCTGACACACTTACTCCCATTACCCCAGTCACTGAATCAATCCATCTCATCAAGGGTCTTCCTCTCTTGCGCTGTCCCTCCAACTTTCCTAGCAGGTAAACTGGACCAAAGGAGATTGCTCATCTTTCTTCCATGGAGCTGTTGGTAGATTTGAATTGCCAGACAGGCACCGTGTTTGGGTTAATAGTGCCAACTCCCTGTGAACTATACCACTAGACAGTTACAAATCAGGTCACGGACTTTAGAGCAATTCACTGAAGTGTCAAATTAGAGTTTGGGAAGGTATAGGACCTTTAGCTAGAATCAGTGATTTCCTCCAAACTGTTTTTTTGAAAAAAAAAGAAAGAAAAAGAAACCTGGATGGGGGCAGGCTCAGATTAACATGAATTAGTAACTTCTACACACTGGATGGTGTGGAAGGAAGAAGGGGTTTATTTCAGAGGTGGAGAGGCTCAGATTAACATGAATTAGTAACTTCTACACACTGGATGGTGTGGAAGGAAGAAGGGGTTTATTTCAGAGGTGGAGAGGCTCAGATTAACATGAATTAGTAACTTCTACACACTGGATGGTGTGGAAGGAAGAAGGGGTTTATTTCAGAGGTGGAGAATGCGAGTCAAGGCATATACTTAATTTTGCCCTAGACAAGCTTTTCTGTCCTACTGTGTCAATTTTAGACATGCAACATGAAAGTATCAATTCCAGAAACAGAGTCCACTGTACAAGGCCTAATCTGTTTCCACTGTAACCTCAAGACAACAGGCTCACTTGTTTTTATGTGCCATCAAGTCAACTATGACTCATAGTGACCCTGGGAACAATGGGATAGACTCAGCTCACTCTAAATCAAAAGTCAAGGACCATTTGGTGAGTGGAGGGAGGGGGTAAAGGAAATGGGAAAGCTCTGGCAGAGACCTGAAAAGATGGGGTGATAATGGGCACAGTCCAAGGGTGATTAATATCAATGAAGGAAAAGTGTCAAACAAAACCCCAAAACACTATGTACATGAATGAAACATAATGTATATGAATAATTATATGTAAACCAATAAAATTACGGAGGTGGATTAAAAAAGCAAATCAAGGATCTTCCTTTTCCCCTCCTTTTTTAAGTCCACGACTGACACTTTTAGTACTGGTGAGTACTGGTGTGGTGTAGTCTGTCTTAAATCTCTACCTCAGGAGACTGAGCACAGCCTCTGTAAGTAACTTCAGGCACATGTGGGGACCTAACTGCCCCCTATACTAGAGTTCCCCTGGTGCACAGCAGCACACTGAGTATACTGCTCAGGAAGCTCTGCCTTAGACAAAGAACTTGCTTGCTTCCTGCTTCAGATCAGACAGTTCCATGCAGTTCTCATGTAAACACTTCTGTTTATCATTGAGGCTTCCTCTTAGAATTCTATGAGGTAGAAGGAAACAAACTAAACTGAAGTTCCTTAATAGTAAGCACAGTGACTATCCTTTTTCTTGTTTAGTGTATATATTTCTTAATTTCCTATTTCTTGTTTTTCTGATCTATCACATACTGGTGCTCAGTAAATAAGCTTTGCTAACAATGAGATAACGAGCAACTAGCCCAAAGTCACACAGCCCAGGACCTGGGCCCAAAGTCACACAGCCCAGGACCTGGGCCTTCTCGCTACTAAGATGCACTCAGGACACAACATTCGGTCTCATCCTTTTCCATGATTCTACTGCAGAGTGGGCCAAGAACGTCTTGCTCCCATCCACAGATACCCAAGGGCAGGGCACGTTTGTGTATAGACTTCTCATAGATTTATTTCTTGTCATATATAGATATATGTATATATACTTTTTTTTGGTAATACATTCTATATCCCCTTCCCTTGCCCACCAAATGCACAAAAAGAAATACAAATCCTTCCAGGATTGCTATTAGGCTAAGATAGCCAGGGCCAACAAAGAATCATCTCTTAACATCTCAAGGAACAACTACCCCTCTTGGGCTCTGGGACATTGAAGCAGCAGCACTCCCAAGGTCCACGTGTATGTGTGTGTGTGTGGGGGGGGGGGTGGCGCAGAAAAAAGCAAACAACTGTAGTGTGACAGGATTCTAGGATGAAAGTATCAGTGACTCCTTGAATGGCAGACTAGCTCCCAGCTCTCTCTTCGTGGAAGTAAAGGTGGGGACCCTATGGCTCTTCAGATGCTGCCGAAACAGGTGAAGGGTAGGGAATAGAAATTGGGATCATGCATGCAAGGTTAGGGCAGCAGTAGAACAACACCTGTGAGTTATGCTAGACAAGAAACAACCCCCGTCAGAGCTATAGGCAGGAACAGATGCTGAGTTCTTAAAGAAGGGACAAGGTAATGGGGCAGGGGTATGAGCATTAGTGAATCAAATAAAGGAACAAAAACATGATCCGTACTCGCCTCCTCCCAAGAGAGGTATGACCTACGTTTGGGAGCTGAGAGAGAAGACGGAGGTGTAGGCGCGTAAATTTAGGATTATCAGCTGGCCAGGGGCACAGGAAGGCTCTCTGAGGACTCCTAAGGGCTAAGTAGGCAGCTGGGACCTATATCCCCAGGATAGAAAGGACAGTCCCTTCAGTTCGACTTGGACCAAATCTTGGCGCTCCCTCGGAGTCTGGCAAAGGGAAAAAAGAGAAAAGATGCAGGAAATCCCCTAGGCCACAAAGACTCCCCCATTCCTTAGCCCCATTCAAATCACTAAAGAAGTGAGACAGCCAGAGCCCTCTGGTAAAAGCTGGGAACCCCAGAAGCAAGTAGTTCCTGGCACGCTAGCTCACCCCTTGCCCTTTGAGGCTTTCTTGCTGGGCTGGCGCTGGTTGGTGCCAGGAGCTGGTTCTCTCAGTTCAGTCAAGTGCTGCTCAGGATCCTGAGACGTGGCTGCAGCTGCTGCTGCTGTCGTAACTTTAATGGTCTTCTTAAGATTAGCAACCTACCAAGAGAAAGGAATGGGCAATAGCAAAGAAGTTTCAAGAGCCCGACAGCCCCTGTCTCCTTATCTCTCTTTCAGAGCACTGTTCACACTCCTCTGTACAGGACAACTGGCCCAGGCTTCCATCCTGCTCACCTCACTCTCAATTTGCTGCTTCAGGCCCAGCTGCTGTTCTTTGTGCTGATTGGCACGGCTCACTTGCTCCTCAATGCTTGACAGCACAACCTCACAGCCCACACACCTGCAGAGATTGAGATAAACAGCAAGTGTCAGTAGAAGAAGGCTGTGTTAACAGACTATGGAAGATGCAAAAAAAAACCCTTGATCTTAGCATCCAAGCCCTTGATTAAGTTAAAAACCCTCACAAGGGCACCTAAACTATCTCCAACAACTTCTTCAAGCAACAAGGTATACATACAGATTTATATAAGGGTAACAAAGCACCTGAGTGATGTGAAAGATAGGAGTAAGAACTAACTAAAACAAAATAGGATATACTGAAGGGGGGAAAGTGTACTGTTGAATCCAACTGGCTAAGAATCCAACCTAAGTGATCAACCTCCCATTATGATCCTCTCGAGGTAACCCTTCCTTTCTACTCCCCAGTTCCTATACCAATGACACTGCTTCCCACTTCCCAGGGTTTTCTCCACTCTCTCCTTCCCTCTGAAGTCTGGAGAAAGGAGCTAATTTATTTTCATCCTCTTGGAGGCCACCTCTACAGCCCAACCCAGTCCTCTCTAAAGAACCTATCTCCTTTTTTGGAGAAAGAAGAAAAGAAACAGTGCCAGGACACAGGTCTCACCACTCTTGCAGGGTTCGTGCAATGGCATTTAGATCCTGCCGCTGGATGTCCCGCCCAATACTGTAGTCAACTTCCAACCGCTGATTGCGCTGATCCAAAGAACCTCGCAGCACGTCAGCATACACAGCCTCAATCACCAGGTCTTCTAGCTGCCGCACATTACGCAGGGCAAGGGCCTCTAGCAACACTGCATAAGGGATGCACTAGAAACCAGGGAGATCATGACGGGATTCACGAGGTTCTGTAGCAGAGAAGGGCCTCCAACAATCCCCTCCTTCCTGCCCCTTCTACTCACACCTACCTTTTCTCCACTCCTTAATCACTTCCTCTAAAAGGCAAATTCTAAAGTACTAAGGATGCCTAGCCAAAACATAGTAACATCTTGAGAAGAAAATTCTTAAATATAAGACTTAAGTTACCCTCCTCCTGTATCTCCCATACTACACTGGGAGAAAGTGACAGCTGCCTGGGTGTCTCCCTCTGGACCTAGCTCAGTGTGTCATACAGCCCTGAGTCAAGAGCAGCGTGACCTAACAGGAGTACAGGATAGTGGGAGAGGCTGGAGTTACTACTTATCATTAATATCATATTTAATTCCAAACATGAGCAATGTCTTCCCATGTGGTTTACAGTCTCAGAAACCCAATGGAGAGCTGATTCCAACTAGATGGCAATGAGTGAGTGAACTCTAAAGAGGCAGTGCACAAGAGAGTGTTGGAGTTACATACAATCATGAAAATAAAAGGACAGTCAACACATGAGAGATGACTGACAAAAAAAATCAACTAGAAACTTAGCTAAGAAAGGTACAGAGATACCTCTAGATTACACATTTCTCATTCTAACCAACAGAATCCTAATACTTCATTAGGGAGCTCTGGTGATCTAGTGGTAAGGAACTGTACTCTCAATCTAATGGGAAGTGCTTTGAATCTACTGGTTACTCTGTGGTTAAAGATGGGCGATATTCTCTTGTGCAACCTGCAGCCTCTGAAAACCCAGCAGGTCAGCTGTGAGTCTGTTCCAACTGGATGGTACATAACCACAACAGTTCTTCTTCCCAGCTCTGACAGATGCCTTGTTCTCAAGGATGCGAGAGGCATAAATAGTGAATGATACATGTAACACCTTAGTTGCCATTTTGACCAATAACACAAATAATGTTTCACGTAAGACTTAAACTATTGAAAAAGAAAACCTAAAAATGAGAATGACATTCAGCCGAAAAAGTTGCAGGTAAGGAAATTTAGTTAAAGATCTCAGGGGAGGGGCAAGAAGGAGCAACACTTGGGTCAAAGGCTGTCCCAGTGCAAACTCCCTGTCAATGCCAACAGGTACTTTTTTTAGAATGCTCTAGAATGCTTGCCCAGGGATGAGAGAATTGCCACTCACCTTGACTTTGGCAGCCAAGGTCACAACTGATAGATGTCGAAGCTTATTCTTCTGGGCCTCTGTGAGTGGGGGAAGATTCCGGGCTTCAGCTGGGGGGAAAAAAAGAACAAACTACAGGAAATCTTTTTTTTTTTTTTGTCAGTTTGTGAGGAAAAAACCTACACTCCCAACTTTTTTTGTTTTTGAGAAGTTTTCCAAACTACTGAGGTCTTGACTTAGTGAAACCAAATAAAGTATCCCAGGGATTTCTTTTAAGTTCCTCCACTAATTGCTCTTCCATATTCACTACTCCAGACCTCCAATCTGTCCCTTTGGTTACCTAAGTAGTCAGCATATGTCCCGTAAGCAAACACCGTGAGTAGCCGAAACGTGGAAGCAAAGTCACTCTCAGCCAGCTGTAAAAATAAGGGAAAAGGTTACAAGGGCCTTCTCAGTTTGACCTGTTTCAAACTCCATCTTCTGCTCCTCTCTCCTAACTCGAGCTCTTCCACTCACCAGAAGAGATGCTCTGCTTCTTGGACCATGCTCCCCATAGAAATGGTTCATTTCTACTTCCAGATCTTCATGTTATTCTTCCATCTACTATCCAATTCCTACTCTAAATTCAGGGCTAAAAGTATTGAGAGTGCCCACTGCCTGACAGGCATTCAGCACTATAAATTGTGTTGGTAAGCCCTCAAATTATGCTTAATATTTCTCACTGTGAATGTCCTTTGACAGTAAGGTGTATACCTCAGTTCACCAAAAACACCTGCTTCAGCTTCTGGCATCTCTGACAAGCACATGACCTAGAGGCAGGCATTTGAATTTATGGCCGCTGCTTCGGACCCACCTCACCCAAGAGGTATGTATCACCTAGCTCTGGCAACCCAGATCTCACTCTTATTAAACTCAAATTCATGCCGTTTAATGGAACCAATTAATAGCTGACCCTCTTGAGTGTTTTTAGAGGCTGTAAATTACATGGGAGGAGAATGAACATCGTTTCACCATTCTAACCACCACTGATGTTACCTTTGGGTTAACAGCACAACTTCCTATGAATCAGAGCTCACAGTGATCACTTAAATCGGACTTGATCAATCCACACGTAAAGTTGTTACCTACTAATCAATTTCTTGCCAAAAAGATCATAGACTCAGTCTCAGGTAGTTCACTCTAGATCTAGCATGCAGTTGAATCTCTGAGTAGACACTTGCTAAATAAATGGCTTACAAATTTATATCCTGTCATCCTAGACTTTCAATTGGAATGGAAATTTCAGGAAGCACTGTAACTTGGACTTTTTTGGGTGCTCTCACACAACTAGTAATGTACTAAGTAAGCACTCAATAAATACTTGATCCACAGCAAAAGCAGGCAGGGAAAGACAAGAGAGTTTTCCCTGGACCAAAGAATGAACCAAAATGCTTAAATCCACCGACACAGTCAGAAGCCTTCAAAGATTTGGTTCTGCTGGCCCAGTGTCACAGCACTTCTAGGCTTGACTAGTGCCATGTATTTTGACAACATTCACTCTTTAGACTTTTCAACTTTAGTACTTCTGTGAGTGGGCATTTACTTGATGGCAGTGAATTTTCTTTCAATTCCTCCTATGCAACACAGGCTATTCACTAAAAGTAAGTAACATAGGGGTCTTTTCTCCCAAAGACATGGTGTGCAAGGAATTCTTCAAAGACAAATTGCTGTTATGTGCCATTTGGTCCGTCACTCTTAGCTGATGTTCCAGTGGGGCAGTAAATCACACAGGAAGAGAACGACCATCTTTCTGTCTAAAAGCAGCTGGTGAATCTGAACTAACTTTGAGCAGGCAGTTCAACTCTTTACCCCTAGGCTGCTAGAAGTCAAAATTCCTCATCCTGACATTCAAGGTCTGGAGTACAACACCTGTAGCTTACCCTCACTCGGCCATCAAACAGCACGCTGTGCATGTGAAGAGTTCTCTGGCTTTGGGCCCACTCTGCTTCTACTGTAGAAATTCTTGGGCTCCTGAAATGCCTCAATCGTGATCCTCACAATTGCATGGGAGATTCCCTTCTTTTTTTTTTAAATTAATTTTATTCTTTTGTGTGTGTATCATCAAATCAGATCTGACTGGTGCAGAAGGAGATTGCCCCTCCTTCTCCAGCAGAGCATCTGGTGGATTAGAACTGCATACCTATGAAATTGCAGTGTGACTTCTTGCCACTAGGCTACCGGAGCTCGAGATTCCCTTCTTTTGAAATCCTAACGTTCTTGTACTTTTTTTTCTTCAAATAGCAATAATAACATATTAATTTAACATGTTCACCTCTCATTTGTACTAGGCTTTATATTTTCTTATAATCTCACTTAATTCCCACAGTAGCAGTGAGGAAGGCATTGTCTCCATTTTCTTTTCTTTTTTTTTTCCATTTTCAAAGCTGAGGCACCAAAATAAAAGTGACATGATTAAAAGAAATGTTACATTAGTGTAGATGGCTGATACTCAGCTCTCCTATTCTGAATCACAAATTCTTTTTAAAGTGAAATACACCAGAACTTACAGATATCTCGAAACCGAATCAAGGGAGTTTAGCTGAGTACTTACTCTTACACGCTGCCAGTTAATCATCCTAAGATTTTTATTCAACTGAAAGGTTACAATATTGCAGAATGAGCCTCATACGTTTCACTACACCAGGAACGCACCTCTCTAACATTGGGCATATCCAGCAGTTCACCAAACACGTAGACACCAGGAGCCTCCAGCACCTGGTGGATGAGTGTGGCCAATGCTGCACCCTTGGCTGACTTGGCCAGAAGCAGAAATTGCTCCTGGTTCTGCCCTGTCACCTTCACCTCCCCGCTCATGGTTGCACTGAGCTGAGGGAAGCTGGGCTCAGGATACCTGGAGCTGCAAGGGAAAAGCACGTGAAACTGGAGGTGCCTGAACGCTGGTCAAATGGGAAGCAGAGAGGAGAGCCTTTGCAGCGGCACTAAACCCTTCAACAGTAAGGACTCAGAGATGAACAGTTAGAACTTGGACCTATGAACCCTGATTTGATATGTGCATGGATGAGGTAGGAAAATCACGTTTACCTTCTCCCCTAACCCCTGGGCCTAATCCCAAACTCTACCACGTGCAGCCCATTAAACCCCCAGTACCAGATGCAGCGCGGGGAAAATGTCAGTGTGTCCACCTCAACAACGAAGATTCCCGAGATTCCTCCCTCATGCCCTACACGTGCCACTTATCCACGTGACCTCACCCCCCCCCACGCTCCTTAAGCGTGGCTCCGCCCCTCCTTAAAGAGGCCGCCCAAGGACCGTAGGGTCTCGTCTCCTGTCCCGACCTACCCCCACTCAGATCCTGCGAGAGCCGCTACCTGGAAGCTTCGTCTTCTAGTGCACCGGGCGGGGCCGAGGCTCCGTCACCTCCGGCAGCTGTTTCGAGCCTTTCCTGCAACCGCCCCCCAAGGTCCTTCTAGCCACTACACTCTATGGCCAGTTTCCGGTCGAACTTCCGCTCCTACAGCGCAGGTTTAGGGCGGGACATGGCCGGTCCCGCCTTCTGGCCATTGAAGCTCTAGCGTGAGAAACAAGCATCCTACTTCTTGGTTGGCTGGCGGGAGAAGAATGACGGGCGCCTTTTTTTTTTTCCTTCTTCTTTTCTTGCTGGGCGGGTGACTTTGACGTTAACTATGGCCAGGACGGGATCCTTGAAAGGGGCTGGAGCTCTGGAGAGTTGACCTGTGGCGTGTACATGGAGCGAGGGGGAAACTATAGTGGAAATAGAAGGTGAAAGAAGCGGGGGGGGGGGGGGGG